GAAGCTGTCTCAGCTCTTTAGCTGCTCACGTCCCTCATGGCTTGCCCCGCTATTACCAGCAGTCTCTTTGATGGACCATGAGATACTTCCCACAGGTTCCCCACTCCAGCTGACTCGCTCCAAGTCATCATCATCATCATCATCATCCACGAATCTCGAAGGCTATTCACTGCTCACTTGGACTCCTTTAACTGTGAAAGCTCATCATCATCATCATCAAAGGTGAAAGCCTTGAACTTGGAGCTGTTCCAATACTCCTCCTCATCACCCTTTGTCCGATTCTTCTCTTCCACACCGAGCCCTCCCTCTCAGGACAGCGCCAGCCTCTGCCACCGCTGGACCAGCCTTTTTAGTCAGGCAGTGCAACATAGAGAAGGGGCGGAAGGTGACTGTCGCCACCATCTGATTTTCAAAAGGATTTATTATCCAAAACTTATTCAGTTTCTCAAAAACTATACCTAATCTCAAGTTCCCTTTGTTCAGTAGTTTGAAATGTTCATGCCCTGGGTCAGTGCCAAGATTTGAGATGACTAAGAGGAATACAGTACAATATACATGAAAGTTGAGTATCTGGAAATATCCTTAAAAAGATCCATGCCTGCTTGTTCTTCAAGACAGACATGAGCTACCATTCAAGCAGTAAGCGAAATCAGAAAATGGTGTTTAACTACAAACTGAGAGAAAGACAATAGGAAAGATACATCAACCCTGTACCTTAGTTGGTGAATTTGTTTTTCACAGGGTTAATGATTTGGAAACTGCTTTTCTATAAGTATCATGGGGGTTGAACAGCTAAGAGAATGGAGGATGGTGCAAACCGAGTTTCTCACTGTCAGGGAGAGAAATTACAGAAAAGCAAGCAGGGAAGACTGGCATGAACCCATAGTCCTGGATTACTCAGGGCTCAGCAGGAACCCTACTATGCACACAGATGGAGAGATGCTGAGATGCTCTAACTATATAAACGTGCTGGTCTACATACAGGTTAGTATGCACATGTGTATTCCTAGCTCTGTCTGCTGGAAGGGCCTAGAAGCAGGGACATACTAACAACAATCGTACCAAACACCTAGATCCTGGTTTCCAAACCAATGAAGGGAACCATGGCTCCTCGGAGAAAAGGATGATTCTGAGGCTGGGGCAGAGCAGGTACAAGAGGAGCATGGACTACCTTCTTGTAGTGCCAGAAAGGAAGAAAGTACTCAGGACAGGAGCATGGCAAAGGACACAGGAGCTGACCTGAAACAACTCCCAGAGGCCAGTATTATAACAATTCCAGCAATAAAACAAATGATTTAGTACTGAATTATATCCCACTCCCAGGGCAGAAATCAATTTCTGTACACCAGAGTATGGGCTGGACTTAGTGACTTACATATAGTGAACAGGGCAGGAAAATGGAAAACTAGCAATTTTATAGCAAACAGTATTAACATATTGACTGCCACACTAGAAAAAAATTTTTTTCCTTGAGGCCTCAGTGTTTTATTATGAAAATAGAATGAAATAGAATAAAAATATTAAAAACAAAATGATCTTAAAACATACATCAATAAAAATATAAAATTTGAAAATCAGGTTTGGTGCCTATAGCTCACGTGGCTAGGGTGCCAGCCACATATACCAGAACTGGCAGGTTTGAATCCAGCCAGGGCCCACCAA